GGTTCAGACCAGCAGTGTTTTAAATAATATCATAATACCACATGGTTTTACATGTTTACCTGGCCATGTTTGGTTTTCATCTGCGTGTAACATTTCTATGAGTTGGGCTGTTTTAGACCCAGGAGCAGCACACATATCAAATACCTAGAGTAGAGAACAATACTGGTATGTCATCTACACAGTGAACATTTATGTATTCAATATTGTCTATTATTATACATCTGTCACCGCAACACCGTAAAGTTACAGCATGCCGTAATTTTGCGGTATTTTATGGGGTATTTTCATTTTACCATATTAGAAAATGTGAATTCCAAATATGGAATGATTACTAGTACGTGTGTAAGTGTCGTCTAATGCCACCAGAAGTTAGCTGGTTCTAAATATTTTGGATTTCGGCATTCCTATGATGTATCCTTGGAAAGGAAAGATGTATACATGTAATAATCATAATGACACTAGCTGTGACTACCGATCTTTTTACTCTGATTTTTATTTTTAATACATTTTCTGTGTCATTAGTGTCAATTTGTAAAATTGGAGACTGAAAGCATAGCATATATGCTATAAACAAACGATGTGCAAGTGGAAAAACATGGCCATAGGGTAGCGTCCATTGAAACCCATTTTTATCAAAAGAACATCAGAGATTACGGTACAAGATGACAATTTACCGGAGACCCTGGGCAAAATGTCAAATATGTTGCCATCTTGAAAGATGGTAACATATTGAGACAAAGCCACTGACCAACGATCTCTCGCTCATTTTATGTGTCCAGATGCAACAAAAATAACAATGGTAACATGCAATACCTTATGTTGTGGTTGAACATCTAATAGTAATGGTGGTATCATGCTGACACATTCCTGTCTGCTAATATTACCCTGAAAAACACAATTAATATTGTTATAGACACCATAAACATTAAAACTAAAAACAAGCAAAAATATGTGCTGACCAAACAAGCCTCACCCTCCCATCCAATTCCACAGTAAGAGGTAATTTGCCAATGTTTGCTATTATGCAAGTGAACACTAGCACATTTATTGGGTCTCTTGAGACATGCAAATTTTATAATACACAACTCCCAAAATATAAAATCAGATTAAGACTCCCAGGTGACTAGAGCAGATGAACTTGGATGCGAGTCAAAGACTCCCTGATGACTATAGTACATTTGTGTGTGTAGATAAGCTTGAATGCGAGTCAAAGACTCCCAGTTGACTATAGTAGATAAGCTTGGATGCGAGTCAAAAACTCCCTGATGACTATAGTAGATAAGCTTGGATGCGAGTCAAAGACTCCCAGTTGACTATAGTAGATAAGCTTGGATGTGAGTCAAAGACTCCCAGTTGACTATAGTAGATAAGCTTGGATGTGAGTCAAAGACTCCCAGTTGACTATAGTAGATAAGCTTGGATGCGAGTCAAAGACTCCCTGATGACTATAGTAGATAAGCTTGGATGCGAGTCAAAAACTCCCAGTTGACTATAGTAGATAAACTTGGATGCGAGTCAAAGACTCCCTGATGACTATAGTAGATAAACTTGGATGCGAGTCAAAGACTCCCAGTTGACTATAGTAGATAAGCTTGGATGTGAGTCAAAGACTCCCAGATGACTATAGTAGATAAACTTGAATGCGAGTCAAAGACTCCCAGTTGACTATAGTAGATAAGCTTGGATGCGAGTCAAAGACTCCCAGATGACTATAGTAGATAAACTTGAATGCGAGTCAAAGACTCCCTGATGACTATAGTAGATAAACTTGGATGCGAGTCAAAGACTCCCTGATGACTATAGTAGTTAAGCTTGGATGCGAGTCAAAGACTCCCTGATGACTATAGTAGATAAGCTTGGATGCTAGTCAAAGACTCCCAGTGACTATAGTAGATAAGCTTGGATGCGAGTCAAAAGACTCCCAGATGACTATAGTAGATAAGCTTGGATGCGAGTCAAAGACTCCCAGATGACTATAGTAGATAAACTTGAATGCGAGTCAAAGACTCCCTGATGACTATAGTAGATAAACTTGGATGCGAGTCAAAGACTCCCTGATGACTATAGTAGTTAAGCTTGGATGCGAGTCAAAGACTCCCTGATGACTATAGTAGATAAG